ACTACAGTGCAACTCTCCGTGAATATTGTTTAAGTGGCAATACTCTTTGATTTGTAGTCTTGTAACAAACTTTTTTGGAACATTAAGAATGACACGCTTAGGGCCAATTAACTAGCTAGATTTACACAATGCACTAAATTAAGCATAGCGACATATATATAGCACTAAAAGAATTCAGGCTTTGACAGGATTGGAAGACTTGCCCTCCAGATACTTTTTGGGATACATGTTAGGAGCATGGTACAGTTTAGATGGTTCTTCTTTCCCCTGGAGGAGTTTGATCATATTCTTTTAATGAAATGGATTTTATTTGACCATTGGGTGAAAATCAAGTAAATCAATGACCCTGGTAGGTGAGCTGTAACTAAAAGTAATTGCAGATTGAAGATTTTTTGGGGATTTGAAGATTTTTCTTTTCTACAATTGTGGGTCACCTGAAAGGATCATTGCTTCACTTTGCTGGCACTTAGAAGTCTTCCAAATTTTGCAGAGCAGTGGCCAGTCACAGGGAGTTATGTCACATCAGACAGAAGACATAATCTGATGATTCATGTAGCGAAAATAACATAAGGAATGTGCAGCAGGTTGCATGCATCAGAGACACATTTTTGAAATTCTGATATTGATTTTGCAAACAAGAACTTAACATTATAGCTGTCTATCTTCCTTGCAGTATGTCAAAGTAAAGGCACATCAGGATGAAGTACTCAAAGGTCTTTTTATACCTTGGTGTGAAGACTGTGACAATAAAAGTATTTTACAGGTAAACGTTTTTTGATAGACTTTGTTTTGTTGCAATGTAAAGTATTTCTGGAGGAGACACAATGGGCAAATTGTGAGGGCAGTGAATTCTTTATCTAACAAAGTAGTTTTGAACCGTCAGTGTCACTGTGTTGTATTTTATGGCCAAGATCACTGTTTCTCTCCACATCCACGGGTAGAGACATTAAGTGATAGGTACCTGATGCAATTGAACACATGCTCTGGGTGTGGCCATGGCTCCAGAGGGTTAGGCCAAGTCTGTTAGGCCTATTCCAGTTTGTGGAGTATGAAGCATTTAGGTGTATTACTGCTTATCTTGGATAGGGTATTAATTTGTCTCTGGGAAAATAGCCCTCTCCTCTGCTTGGTTCTCAAGCTGGTACCCAATTATACTCCTAGCTTGCAGAAGATACTTGTTAGAATGAAGTGTCACACTCATGAACAGAGCAGAGTGGCCTGGCCTGGCAAGGATCAAATTCTCATATCTGGATTGTTAATAGAGTACACCAAAAATTTTTAATATAGCCATTGCAGTTACTGATATTTTGGAATTCCATCCAATTTCTCATGTATATTCTACAGAAAGCAATAAAAAATATGGATTGTATAATAGTTATTTTGGTTAGTTCAGAAAGTTTACGCAAGAGGCAGATTACAAATATGGCAAATTCTTAGCTAGCTCATCAAATTTAGGAAGATGTTAAGTATTCATCCCATTTGTTTTTTGCTTAAAACTTATTACTTAGACCATGATTGTGATTTTGTATGAAATCTGTTTTCTTGATTGAAACTGACCGCTCAAACTCTTTGTTAAAATTGCTTTTCAGGCTGTGGGTATCGTCGGAGCAGTCAT